CTTCCTTTCACCTGAACAGAGGCATTGTTACGGAGAAGATGTAGAAGCAGGGCACATCGTTGCTGGAGAATCCCCAACATAGGGTCGTATTCGGGCTGAGGAAATTTTTTTCGATAGTTGGTTTTCCTTGTTTCAGAGCCGTTGTGGCAGAGGCCCGCACGGACTTGGCCAAAATCCCCGACTAATGATGTGCCCTTTGTAAAAGTGACCTATCTTTGCCGCGGCCTCTTTGCCGCTTCCCTTGAGCCAGGTGAAAATCCTAGCTCAGAATTGTATATTCTCATCACCCCTCCGCCGGACCTATAACAGAGAACATGTAGTGTCTTCAAATGCCCCGCTGCACACCGTAGTGTCCCCTCTCTGGAATGCCGCCAAGGTACAATTTACGTTTCTGATTCCGTGAATTTCCTCGCGAATTTTAATTGCTAAATAAAATGATACAAACCCACAACCCATTTTATTTTTATATAGGATGCAATGAATTCAAGCAGTAGAAATTGTCTGCAGTGGTGTTTTTGATTTCAGATGCGGTGACAGAAGTGCGACGGAACTTGTTTTCAACCGATGGTACCCTATATAAACAGAAGACAATGTGCGGTTTTTACGGTGCTAGGGCCTACTACGCTTCCCAACAGCCTAGCCTCTCCATTTATATTCCACCGGACTCACTCCAGGCAATTCCACATGGACGAAAAACTGCGAGAGCAGCAGCGTGAGGCGCAACGGCGAGTGAGTGCCATTCGCTCGATCGCCATCGCGACATTGGCCGTCACCACCTGCATGGTATCAATGCCGATCGTCTTCACCCGTCTGCAGGAGATTGACAGCCATGTCCGTGGTGAACTTGAGGAGTGCATGGTGAGTTTCATTCTTTCAAGTGCAATCTCCTGAAAAATGATTTATTTTGACGGAAGAGGAAAGCATTTCGTCGTAAGCATACAGCTGCCATTCAAGCGAACATTAAAGGAAAGTAGAAAGAGCGGTGGAGAAGAAACCATAGCCAGGGAGGGACCGATTCTTTAAGATTCTTTATCTCAGAGGAAAGGGGAAGGCCAGCTCCGGAGAGTGGTCTGCAGTATCCCTCTCTTTATTTACTCTTTAAAAAAAAAAAAAATTTTTTCTTTAAAAAAAAAAAAAAAACCCTTATGTATTTATTTCTCCTAACTATGGCATAAAATCGATGAAACCGAATTGCCCCCAGCGGGAACGCTCAGAGTTCTTTTTGGTAACCCGAACTAGAAGCTGAAAGACGTCACCCAACCGGTGGCAAGAACCGGTCCAAGCGTTATGCTGTAACGCTGTAGAAAGTTGATACAGTCGGCCCGCTAAGGCCCTGCACTTATCGGGAGAAGTCGAGAACATTGAAGGGCTAAAACAGCTTTTTCTACGCCTCAGCATACCCGTAAGCTCACCTTTCATGACTTTTAGTGTTCTGCGTCACTTATGGTGAGGCCCCATCCTTGCTGTGCTAGAGTCAGGGCACGCACTCTCACTAGGAAAAATTTTTTTCTGGAAAGTGCGCACCCCCAGCCCTTGTTCCCTTCTCTGATACGATCCCCTTCCCTAACTTTCCTACCACTTTCGTCGACTGTTTTTTCGGAATTCCCAAAGATTTTCTAGTTTTTTTTTCTCAAATTTGTTGTCGATCGGGAAAGAGGAGGGGGGGGGACTAGGGATGCCCTAACGTACGACTTGATCTGATTGGAATACTATACGTCATCAGAGCAACTCAATCCTAAAGTATTCCACATGAACTGAAACATACAATGCGAAATGGGCCATGTTGAGAATAGGCTAATTTATTCGAATATGACTTCAGGTTTCTTCACGTAACCTCCTACGACAAGTAATAAACGTTCATCCCAACTCTCACTTGCTCTCAGCCGCTAGTGCAGTACTGAGGGAGAAGAGGCAAGCTACCGGTGAGTATATTTGTATCCATTCTTGCTTTTTCGGAAACACTTACTTCCCGATACAGGTTGCTGCACGTGTCACCGAGGAGCACCAGGACCTCCTGGACCCCCAGGAGTCGATGGGGCTGATGGCATCGACGGTGTCAATGGGGAGATTGGAGATCCGGGACGAGCTGCTGAAGAACCAATGGAGTGAGTTCAGCACAATTAATTGAGTATCCATACCTTCTCGGCAATAGTAGCATCGAAGTAGTGATAACATCTGAGTTAACAATTTACAGCTACCGTAAGTCGAAGATTGTCCAGTGCCCGTGCGAATCACCAGCCGGTCCACCTGGGCCACCAGGTCCACGCGGTCCACCATCCATACCAGGAGAGCCAGGTATGGTTCGTTTCGTAGTCAAAATTCCTTAGTAGCCTAAAACATTTCTTTTCAGGAGCACCTGGTCAGCCAGGACCCAACGGCCCGCCAGGTCCACCCGGTGTACCAGGAAGGCCCGGAATACCAGGACCGCGTGGTGAACCGGGTCAAAACGGACGAGATGGAGTCACTCGCCCTGGTGCTGGAGGTCCACCAGGTCCAGCTGGTGCGCCTGGTGACAGAGGACCAGACGGACCACCTGGAGGTCCAGGACAGGGGTCACAACCAGGTACGCTCTTTCACATCTGCATTCCACTGAACCTTCACAGACATGACGTGAGTAAGTTCAATTTTTTCAGGATCACCAGGTTCACCGGGAGAACCAGGACCACCAGGAAGACCTGGAGCGCCAGGAAATCCAGGTGCAGACGGCGCTCCAGGAGATCGTGGTGCAGACGGCAAACGTGGAGCCTGCGATCACTGCCCACCTCCGCGAACCGCACCAGGATATTTCAACTAAAGGGTGCACTGTTTTAATAATAAAGGCTACCAGTTCAACGTTTTTCAAGGTTAGAACGTATGTACCACATCATGTTGACAGCCTTTCCCAAGAGTTCACTGGGTGAATCATTTCTTCGGGCTTTTATATCCCTTATATTGTGTAATGAGCTCGCAGGCGCCCACACCAGATGGACTGGGTGCCTGCGTAGCAAAGAAAGACCTATTTTATATCGAGGAATAAATTTACATTTCGGCTTCTGGCACTATTTACCCTTTACTGCCCCAGTCTTCCGGAACCGAGCCAGTTTTTGACCGACTTTTTTCTCCGTGGACAGATTTGGCTCAAATGTTGTCTTCTGGGGTAGTTTGATTCCTGAATACGAATATCTATTCGCTTGGCCCGAAACCTCTGGCGCCCGCGCCACAGGCGCCGGTAATTTGGGGTGTTTTGGCGCCGGCGCCAGTAGCGTGAGCGCCAGGAGGTTTCGCGCCAAACGGATGTGATATTCATGTTCAGGAGGTGGAACTATCCCAGGAGACAAATTTTCAGCCATTTCCGTTCACGAAGAAAAAATTCGGGCAAGAACTGGCCAGATTTCGATGACTGGGAGCAGTGAAGGGTAAATAGTGCCCATCTTTTTAATCCTTCGATTGTGGGTCAAGTGGTCTGAGTCACGACAACAGCACACCACAACAAAGCAACATTAACAAATCAATTAGGTCGTGGTGCGACCTTGCAGCAGCCACCGCTACCGTAATCTCCTAACTTGATGATCTGATTACCTCATAAAAACTTCCCTACTGTTTCAACGCTCACCACTCCGGCGTCCTCGGAACGGTAGTGTGCCATGCGCCTTGTGTACAGCTGCAACTTTGGCAGATTGTTTGTTCCACGTACCCGTCCGAACAAAGTGATAGGCAGGTTTTCTATTGTTGATAACGTAGCAATCAGTCGAGTGGTGTCAGGAGGGGCGGTGTGAGCAAGCTTCCGGATGCCTTGCCTACCAATAGCGATCTATTGGCAGTCGATTTTTAAAGAAATCAACCAGTGATGGAAACTCCGCGGGTAGGCTCATTTCATCCTGATTGCAACAACTCGGCCGATTGCAACATTATGTACAGTAAAAGCAGAAGCGCACGAGTATGGCACGGTTGGTGGGGGTAAGACCAGCCACAGATAACCCTCGCATGCTTCCCTCACTCGGGGTTAGGGGTATACCCTTGCATTTATGCGCGTTATGCATGCATGAAAGCACCACGGTTACAATAAATAGATTTATTTTGGTAAATGAACAGATATTTTTACATGAGTAACTGGCGAACAGTAAAAACCGACACCATCAGTTTTCACTTTTAACAACAAATTATCTAAGTCTAGAGAGTTATTCGTCTGAAATCACAATGTCCTCACATTCGCTTCAAAAAAAGGAGTTAGATTGGCACTACTATCAACAAAACTAGCACAAAATGATTGCTTCTAGACAGGGCTAAGTAGCTCCCAAGAAATCATGCACAAGATGCCACGAACAGATAGTTCAACACGTAAAACTCTTCGGAAATTAGTCTTCGATTAATCCCGCTTCAATTTCGGCGCATTCACGAAGTCCTCGCCATTAATGAATATAAACATCATGCATACCAAAAAGACGGCCAACCAAAAGAACGTGGCGGAAATGTTTTCTAAAAAAATAATAGTCTTATAAAAAAGTATGTTTCTTGGAATTGCAGTAACTAATTCACCTGCGACCAGAACGCATAGTATTGTCATTGCCATAGCAAAGCAAGCTGCCAAAAGGGCTATCCCATTCTGATCCAGTGATATTAACGTAGCTTCTAAGCTAGACGGTAGATTGTGAACATCAATTATAAAATTGCCCAAAAACACATCCATAGCATCCTTGAAACGTTGAAATATGAATATTGACAATGACCATGTGTAGGGTTAATGCATACCTGCCTGTACCCATCAGCAAAATTATTGCGAAAATATCGTGTAATAGCATTAATACCGTCGTTTATGGCACCAGTGTACGTCCGCTTACCCAGTCGAGTGAAATCCGCCTGAACAATTTTTGAATGAATTCTTTTCATGATTGTGGGGAATTGCATTGACTGTAGCTGAAGGGAAGGTCCTGCGACATGCTGGACGAAATTTCGAGCAGGAAACTTTTCATTTGTTCCAGTGAATCCGTAACTCCCATTCCACCAGGGAAAAATGTAAATTTCACTGCGAGAAACCGAATATTACTTTGCAGTAGCCAGACGCCCAGAGTGTATGAAAGACGCTTTGTTTTTCCCCGAAAGATTTAGTCGAAGTGGCGCAGCACTTTTCGATCAACTTCCTTACCTTAAGAGCACCAGTTCCGGCGTACTGTCGACTGCATTCATCCCCATTATCCGCCCACACTGAATCAATACGGTCAAGAACTCATAGGAAAAACGAAATTGTGCCACTCACAGTGCTTAAAGGAAGTCTCCAACTCTTCACAACTTTCAACTCTTTGTCCGCTGACCAGAATCCCCAGGAATGTCAGTTGATCGGTAAGAGACTCACGAGCGATCATCGCTTGCACCACGTTGGTTCTGAAATATCGGCCTTTTTGGAATGAGTTCAGCGGCTGTGTATGAAGTACAGTAGGTCCGCAACAACATACCGATCAAGGCAATCCATACAGTTCGTTCGAAAGAAACCAGCCTGGTACCGCTGTACAAGGTCCGTATCTGTCACTTCGGTAGAAGCGGCGAAAAACCTAAAATGAAGGAACTGATGGCGTGAAGACAGTTCGAAAAAGACAGCTCTCAGACAACCAAATGAAGATTTATCATTTTATTTCACTTTATTCATCTCGTTCAACAGTGTTGCTTATTCCAAGGACAGATGGCAATAATTGCGACTCCAGGAAATGTAATGGAGAGTAGGGAAGAAGTAATGATAATAATTATGATAAGATGTTAGCACAAGAATGCTGAGGTAACTCATAAGCAAATGACATCAGAGCGAACTCGAACCTGTACGTTACTCTTACCGGGCGAATCTTATGATCCCATTACTCGTGATAACTTTCAGAGCGCCACGGCGTAAAGGATCAGCATGACGATAAATCAGTCAAAAAAAGAGACATAGTCAAGTTTTTTTTCATCTTACTTTCTACACTCGTGCCCACCATTGAAAGCACTCGTCTTTTCTTCACTTCATTAACGCCACACACTCCAGTGAGTTCACGCAAACAACCACACTTTGCAGAGCATAACTCAATTTATAATAAATATAACCCACCCAAATTGAGTTATTTCGTGCCGCAGTTGGTCCTTCAATAGCGACAATCGGTGCCATTGCATCGCATGGCACTCTTTGTGGAAGTCGAACGGATTGTACCTATTGTGCATATTGAAAAAGCTGGTACTATGAAAGGAAGATAATGAAACCTTTAATGACTGCAAAAACAAGAGATAGCCGAAAACTAAATTCAGAAAAGGTAGAAAAGCAGATTACCTGACATAATTAAGATTAGCTTGTTGAATGATCCTCTCGAGTTCAGCTCCTATCTTCTTCTCCCGGCCCGTCTGATTGACAAGGTTTACAATAACCTGAATGAGTTACAGTGACATTCGTGAAAAGTTCAGCAAAATGCTGAGTTATGGGCAAAATGCTTTACTACAAGTTGCTTTCTTGCCAATAACTTTCAGAGCGTGAACTGCGGTGTAAAACAGCAGTTATCATAATAAGAAAAGTCCGGAAAATATAAATTTGGCGAATAAAGACGGGATTCACACTGCAGACATAACGGCGCTGCTGCATAATGCGGTGGGAGGCTGTCGAGGCCAGGATAAAGAGGTTCTTCCCGAGGCATACATGTTTACTTATTATCTCCACACCAGGAGACTTGGTGGAATCCTTTGATTCAATACTTTTTATAGGATACATGTTCCACATATTCTTACAAAGTTCCGGTTGAACACCACTTTTCTGGGCGGTGGTCAGACTTCGCACTGTAACGCGCTGTAACGCGCGTCGACGCGCAACAATTGCAACACCGCTCAAGAGCTAGAAACCCAAGCGCGGAAGTGATCGATCGGCGCCGGCGCATGTGTACTGAGAGAGCGTGGGGAACTGGAGGATACGCGATGCTTGATCACGCAGTCTGGCATCGATGGGACACTGGCCACAAGGGCTTCGTCTGTACCCTCTAACACAAGCGACCACGCCGATTAATCCGCGTCTGTGTCAACGTTCGCGTCCATGGGAAAGAAGCGCTGGTAATGCGTCGACGAGCGTCACGAATGTGAACGTTGCATTACTTGGTCCTTTTGTCAATGAATCCCGAGTCACTGATAAGGTTAAGTGCTTGGAAACAAAGAGAGACTCGTCTGAGGTAGAGGTTAACACGTTGCGGACCGCCAACTGCAGATCATTATATTATATTTCATCAGTAATTTCCTCCCCTTTTCCAATCGCTCATGAGGTAAGTATCTTCCGTAACCGAGAATGTGTTTTGACAACAGTGGAACATAAAAGGAGAGCCAAATTAATCCAATAAAACGCCGCACAGAGACGAATTCATGACACACCATGTGTGTCACGCGGTCCGGAACGTGTTAAACAAACCACTTCCTTTGAGTGGTTATCTGCCTTCGTTTAACTACCTTCTTCTAATTAGAAGAATGCGGAAGATGTGGGTCATTCATGGGCCTTGTTAGCGCATGAGGGGGGGGGGGAGATTTCGCAGGGCTGTCGCGATATTTTCTCTCAACTACTAGCATCAGGATAACTACAGTAATTGATATTTCACTTTTTCACATAAAACTGGGCGTGTTAGTTTGTGGGGGAACCACAACTTACATGTTGGCCTCCATAAGTCTTCTTCTGGTGTTCGAAATGCTTTACGTACGCCGAAAGTTGATCGTCACTGGGTTTCATAGTAGGCATTGGCTGCCATTTAAGATTGGGACGCTGAGACCATAATAGAGGAATTGAACCGCGTGTCTGAATATTCCAATAAAAAACTTATTTTCATTTTCTGATCGTTAATAGGAGACCAATTTATACCTGCAGGAAAGAAGTTAACCTTCGGCCCCTGCCCGATATCGTTTCGACAATTTGTTCCGTCTCCACGAAGTTAGCTGGGTGTCCGTCACTACTTACACCTCGCTTATAGAAGCGTACTCCTGCCCTGGAACGGTTGTATGGAAAAAGTGTAAGGGATATACCATTTTCACTTTAAATCGGACACTTTTCAAACCAAATCGGACACTTTTCAAACCAAATCGGACACTTTTCAAACCAAATCGGACACTTTTCAAACCAAATCGGACACTTTTCAAATCAAATCGGACACTTT